GTAGTGTGTGGGTGTGTGAGTGTGTGCTACAAAACACATACAAAAGTACAAATGCATACCTGGAGCCAGTCACATCAGCTGTTCTTAAGTTCAAATTGAGCCCTGTAAAACAAATAAATTACAACGGGTTGAAAATCTGGAGCCACATGCAATTTTACCGCCAACAGCTCGGTCAGAGATTCGGGTGTGTTATTCTAGTAGCGGCTAACATAGCCTCGATCACTTGAGGCAACATAGATAACTATGTAAACTTGTCTGGTAAATTGCCTTTAGTGATAGGATTATCTCCCTTACTTTGAAATATAGTTGTTTCCCCCCCCCCAGTGGAGCCTGTTTTCAATGACACAAACACAACCATCTTCCAAACTCAATATCTCAAAACGGTCCAAGAGGCCGCTTTCCCCTCGTCTTTTACAAATAAACTGAGCATACTCGAACCTTCTAAGATCCTCTTTCAAATGAGGACAAGATATCAAGAGGAGTCACTCATTTCAATTGGACTCTCACAGTGACCAGAGGAATAACAGACACATCACAAGAAGGCTAAAAGTAACCTGAGGACACAAGGCTCGCACAGCTGTGCATTGGAGCTGCAGTCCGTATGACGATGGTATCTATTAGTCTGTGATATAGTGCTCAATACAAAGCAGGCCGCAAGAAAAACAGGAGAGGGGGGGGGGGGGGTATTTCCTTCCTGATAAAGTCCATCATGAAGCCACAAATACAGTGACCATCAACATTTCCTGGGCATCATTTTGCCTGTAAAGACTAAATCCCATAATACAGTCATTTGAATCTACACATTTCTATGTTCCCTATTGAAGAGGTAAGACATTACCGCTTACATAGTTACATAGATGGGGAAACTATCCTGGCAATAAAACAGTGAATGTGTGTGAAGCGTCTGCAAAAAAGGATTTACAGAAAACACCCCACAGACCAACTCCAATGGGGAAAATGTGTGTTTGGGAGACTCAATTCTGTGCAGCAGCAGGATGGAAAGTATTTTGTACTTTTATAAAACTGCATATTTTCTTCGCTGATTTGAAATCTGAAGCATAATGTAAAAAGCCACCTGGGCTTTCTGCCACAGGATATCCTCTTCATAACTGACTTCATACACAGTGAATTTAAAGCAATGCAGTCAGTCACTGGGAGCCTCACATTACGCATGCCTGCAGACATCAAAACAAACACACGTGCACAAAATACATACAAGCGCACTCAAGCAGAGACTGGTACATGGGCGGGCGGGCGCACGCACGGGCAGGCGCACGCACGCACACCTAGTTAAGTGCTGCTCTCCAGCATATTAATACTTAAAATAAACTGGCTACAGCTCTCGGCTACAGCTGAACAAATTCTAAAACGAGATCACTTATGAAAACAAATTTCCTGCGTTTATTATTTTTTAAATGGTCAATAATGGATCTTATATGGCCGGTGTAGTGGTCTTGTGGCAATAGATTATATTAGGTAGCTGCAAGTTTCCCGTCTGATTTATTATGGCTTTAAAACCAAAATGCAGCCCCTTGGTGTTGGCCCCATCGTGCGTCTCTCTAAAGCCGGCTTTCCCCCTCTCCTCCTCCAGGTAGGGGAGCAGGAAGTGTGCAGCCTCCCCTCTGATCCCCAGTCAGGCCGGTTAACACCAGCAGACTGCTGATGGGCTTCACACAAGACGTTACACTGACAGACAGCTGGGGTAGAATAGTCCCCCATCACATATGTAGGAATTTAGTATCACAAAAAATACGAATAGCTGTACCTATAGAGAAACCAGACGAGAATTCATGTGCATTTTTGCATGTATGTGTACATGTTAAATGCGTCAAGGAACCCCACTGTGAGCATGCTCTCTCAGTTATATAAATACACACAAACACATATATGAGGGGCCTGTGTTTCCCTTAAGTGCGTTAATGATCTCTTATCTGATGGAAATTGATCTGAGCACACAGCCAGGGGTCTGACCTCTTGCCCTCATATACACCAACACCAAAGACTCACTCCTGACTTTGACTTAATTTAAACGTACACCTACTTACAGATCAATAAATCAAATGCAATATATCAAGAAGGGCTTGATTAAACCATTGTTTGGTCTACAAAAATATAGAGCAAAATGTAACATCATCGAATTGGTTGTTTTGTGCGACCAACCATCCCAAACTCCAAGGATATTCACAATCACAAAAGACAAAGAAAAGCAGCAAGTCTCCTCAAACTGTCATAGGATGGCCGTGTTGTTTTAGCCCCCTCTCCTGATGCACAGTCTCCAGTGACTGATTCACATTAATAGGTGTATCTGGCTGGCATTTTAAATTTTGGGCCTGTGCCCAAGAGTGGGCCGCCTGTGCCCCCCTAGCTGGTATCAGACCTGTTAAACAGCCTTTTAGTGCAAATTGCAGAGATGACAATACACTCCCCCTACACAGGACACATGCAGGCCCCACATGGCTCTAATTAGCCAAGGCTCCATAAAGGTGTTGTGTCCATGTGTTAGTAATGAATGTGTGTGTAGGTTTGTGTGAGAGCATACGTAGTGTGTGTCTGTCGAGGCAACAGGCGGGTGCTAATTGCAAACACCTGAAGCTTGTAAGCTGAGTCGGTCTCAGCAACATCGTTTGCCTTCGCCTCAACTGTGTTGTATCTGTGAGCATAAAAGTGTCACAACAATGCCGTCTCCACTGAGCGGCTACGGGAGGTAAATGACCTCCCGTAGTGTCAAATGCTATTTATAGGCAGTGTCTGAACCAGAGGGCTTTGCCTTCAAAATACGTTCTTTTTTTTTTTCAGGAGGAAGTCATTCAGTGAGAAGCGCCAATAACAAATTCAACATCATCAGTTCCCAGCGCTGCTGCGAAAGTGCTGCCCCCTGTTGGGCCCCTGTCTTCGTGCATGCTGAAAGGTGAGCACCCTGATGCTGAGGGCACAGCTTTAATGGCAGAAATGCCACTCATGCTGTGTGGCAGTGTGTCTGGCACACACACATGGGCAGAAATACCTTGGCCTGTGATCCTGGTGGTGAGAGATTCAAGTTTCAGGTGGGAAGAGCTGGTGCTAAAGGGAGAGGGGGGGGGTCTCTTCTTACAGTGTCGTGTTGAGAGAGGTGCCTCTGTCGGCCCCTCAAAGGCTCAGGGACAGAATCTCAGACTCACACACACACACAAAACCACACGCAGCCATATGAGACCATGACCAGACTGTACAGTCACAAGGCCACAGATGGGATGCACACATTTAGGAACAGCTCGGCTCAGATAAATATACATAAAAGTTGTTTTCGCGAGTCACATACTTCATACAGCGCCTGACACAAACGCATGCACACTCCTGATAGTTCACAAGCTCATGTGGCTTCTTGAGCAAAAAGCACCAGGAAAATCTCTCCAAATCTAAGTTTATCGGCTGAGAAACCCTCTTTAGAAATAAACACATTTTATGGAGAAACGTTAACAAGTCTGTATTGAGCAATCTGGGGAATTGCAGGGATGTGAAAGAAGTACATTTTTACATTTGGTTGCATAAAAGCCGCAATAAACAAATATCCTTTTGTTCCAGCCTCGCAAAAAAAGACCATATTTAAAGCCAAGAAACTGTAAAAAGAAAACTTTAAATAGACTTCTGAATAGTTGCGGAGGAATTGTGTTTAAGTGCAAAAACCACTTGATTACACAGCAGTTCAGTACAATTGACAGGAAAATGGGATGCAACATCTGATACAATAATATGGTCAAATAAAGAAAGTACATTCAAATGCATGAATACCCATTAAGGGCAGTGCAGGCTTAGCCTAATTGGGCAATGTTTTCCAGGGTGCATATACATCTAATTTCAATTCTACTGAGTCATGCTGAGTAGAAATGCACTGAATGTATAAAAGAGGAACTACAGTAAAGTACTACCACATGCAGTGTCAGTGGTTTTGACTCTGCTGCATCCAATGCAAACAACAAACACTTGCACCAGCTTCGCTAACCAGCCAGACAGAGCCAGCGAGCTATCTTGGCACTCAGACTGGAAAACAGAATGTGTTGAAAGCGAGCCAGAAATTCCACTTGTGAACGCTTTCACCTGTTCATGTTGTTGGAGGGCTGTTCACACCCGGAGACAAAGAGAAAAAGAAAGAAGGAAGAGCCAGGGAGAGACGTTCGCCAAATGTGCAGATAAGCATCTCAAAAAGCTCAACCTCTGCCATTACTTTTGGATACAAAACCCTTCAAAGAAGAAAATGTGTGCAAGCAGATACTCAGTGATGATGGTAAGATTTCACTTAAGTTGCAATTTTTTTTTGAACTGGATTGTCGTGAACTCCTCAATACATGTGAATGTTTCAATAAAACACACACACATGCTGATGTCAGTGAATTCCTCTGCCAATAAACCCCAATTTCCTCTCCATAGTTAAGGTAAAATAGCCCATGTATTTAATACACAGCTGATCAATACATGGGGACACATCACATCAAATATAGCTGCAGCTTTACCCAAAATAAAAAGGAAAACCATCTCTCTTTTTTTTTTTAATTCACAGGCATAACGGGGGACTCAGTGTGTAACATGATGTGGATCACACACTGCTCTCCGCCCGTGGAACTATCACAAGCTCTGTAACGAACACCGCGAGCCAAACGTGGCCAATCTTGGCACACCGCTGCTACATCTTTTAAAGTGAGCATCCCCCACTGACACGAGGCTGCAGGGCTCAGGCTGGACGTCCCAACCCCGCTGCTCCGCTGAGTGTGGAGCCCTGCTGTCCCAGTGTGGGCCCTACACCGGCTCAGGGGGCCGTGACCATCAACACGCACACATACACTCTTTAAGTTCAGGAGAGCTGCCAAGAGCATCATAGGCAGACAAACAATCAGGTTTCACAAGCTGTCAGTCATTCCTAAACTGTAACGTTTACCTAATAGGGAACAGATTTTGAGCGTCTCCTTTGATTTATTTGTGTGTTTTTTGGGTAAGTGGTACCAATGCTACAAAGAGCAGAGACATACCTGGAGGACAGGAGCACTCTTGGCCAACATCCCTAGTTGTCCGCAATTTTGGCATCAGCACCACCACTTTCTGCAGACAGACAGAACAAATTCCAAAGCTAAATAACAATACTAAACATGAATATATTTTTTGAAGTGGAGATCATAAAGAAACAAGTAGAGCACGGAATAATATTAAAATAACCTCAATGAGCACCAATTACAATTATGAGATCATAACCTTCGTCTTATTAAATACAGCTCAAGGAGCTTCCTCCATGTAATAAAAAGTATAGGTTGGTGTCTCATCAGTGGTTATGTCACCCTATAAAGAGATTTAACGGTAAACTAATTGGCCAGCTGCATGCCAGGTTGATCCCTACGGTCATTCGTTAAAATGGGACTGCTTTTAGAGGGAATAATTAGGGTGCAATTGCCAAAAGAGCGCAAAGTCTGTGCGTTTGACAGCCTCCCTGCTATTACGCACATTTTACGCACCGGCGAGCAGTGCCTCTGAGGTTCACAAACACAATACATGAATTTATCAATAACAGTATGCGTCATGTACCTCTTCAACGAACTGCCCTATCGAAGTGCTCAGCTCTGGAATTAGAGTCCCATCCTCGTTTAGACAAGCAGTGCGCAGCGGGTGGAAGATGGACGCTTTGTCCGTCTCCATCTGCAGGCGGTTCTCCAGCTGGTAGGTCTTGAGGCTCATCAGAAGACACACGGTGATGGAGCTCAGGGACATCAGCAAGCACAGGGCGATGGGGAAACCTGGAAGCCACCGGTGGACCGCGGACTTTGGAGCACACTGGCACACCGGCTTACTTTCCCCGATAGAGTCGCGAGCTGTATCCATGTTGAAAATCCTGCTGAAGTCCTCTTGATGAACAGAAAATAAAACTAAAAATGCCTCGTTTAGCTGTTGAAGTTCTGCGACCAAAATCTACTCGGTGCTCCGGACTCACTAAGCAGTGCACCTAACAGATTCACAACACTCTGCTGCAGCACACTAGGCTCAGGGTTCAAAGCGCTGTCTTAAATTAGTCTTGGAACAAGAGGCTGCAGCAGCGCACACCGGGTTTACGCCGGACACAGATGGGAGCGATCTGGATGCCAACCAGAGAAGAGGCGCCTTCTAACTTGCAGGGGAGTTTCCTATATGGATGTGCAAGTGCAACTACCAATGGGTCCAATTGTCTGCCTGTCTCAAAGTTGCATGTTCAACTAGTTGCGATGCGCCCGCCCCGCTGACCACGTGGGGGCTGCAGATTGACAGCTGCCTGTGAGACTGTTGAGGGTTTTTGTCTTGGCCAACTTCTGGTCACTCAGCCACCTCAGCACAACATGTTATAGGCCATGCAGCTATTATTTGTTTTTATAAACCCACTAGAATTAACTCGAACAGCGACTGATGATGTTGAAGCTTGTTAATGCAATTAACTAACATTTGCTGACTAATTAATGAGACTTTAAAATGATACGACCCCTCCACTGTAATTTGTGAAATGACACTTGTAACTTTGAAGTAGATTCTGTACCCGCAGGCCCCGTATTGTCAATGGGGAAGGCATCTTGCGTAAACTTTGAGGACAATGGATCCTCTTCAGAAAAGAAGTTTCTCTGGTTGTAGTTCAAAGCACGTAAACCTTCTAGATAACTCAAGCCGATGCTGCACACTGGCGATCCCGACTCGCAACGTCAACAGCTTGAATAATAATACAGATTCATGGTTTGTAATGCATTTTGTTGTTTTCGTTTGTCGAGCCGGATTGAAACCGGTGCGGTCATCAATCCAGGTTAAATGATCAGTTTTAATGCACTTTTCGTTCAATTTCAACGAGGATCAGATCTTTCGACAGGAGTGACCTCAAGGCAGCAGACTCAGTGATCTGAAAGCGTTTTACTGCCACCCTGTGGATTTATGCAGCTACTGCACCTACACATCACTGCACAGTCAAAGTACAAACAAGACACGTCTGTCGTCTATTCACGTTTATTGAGAAAAATGTACATTATACTGCAAAAGTTACACAACCACTCAGTGAAAAAGGAAACATCTGAACACATTTTATGTACAAGGATTTTCTGCCTGCTATAGCTTTCTCTCTCTTCAATGCTGAATAAATTATTACTGGCCAGACTGATGAGGCAAAAACATTCCCCTTCACCACTGTGACAATGCAGAGAAAGACCATGGACACAATTGGACAATTCATGAAGAAAAGAAAAAAAAAATAAGTAAATGCTTAAGTGATACAAATTAAATTAAAATGGCAAATAAATAGAAATAATTTGGAGGATTCATTACATCAAACATAAATGCCACAGATAACAACATAACGTGTTGATGAGTGAAAGACTAAGAGGAAACACACCGGCTTAAGACACAGCGAAGCAGGGCAGTGGACTGATACAGTCAGTTAAGGTTCTCCTCTCCTGGAGAGTCAGGAAGCAGAGGCTGCACTGCACCATGAAGACATCATAGTGACAGTCAGGCTCTGACCAGGGTCACAGGTTCAGTCTTTTTTGCTGCTGCTTCTGCTGCTTCGGGTGCTTCTGGTGGTGCTCTTGCGGTAGCAGGAGAAGAAGGGATGATGGAGGGCCTGCTCCAGACTGAGGCGCTTCGCTGGATCGTACTCCATCATCTTCTCTATCAGGTCAAACAGCTGGTGGTGGTCTTCGCCCTTAGACTGCATGTAATGCTGATGGGAAAGAAGGGACAATTGTAAAGTGTGTCACAATGAATCTTGTGCTCTGAATGTTAAGTGTAGTTCTATAATACGAACTTGGTAAATAATGTACACTGTTGACAGAACAGAAAAGAGCCCTGCAGGTAATACCAGTTTGGTGGCGCTCAATTTTTGTTTTTGAACGAGACTTTCACTTTGGGCAGTGTTTCCTATTTAACAACGGACTGTCCTCAGCGCGTGTTCTGCACAAATGTGGGAAACCCACCCAACCCCCCTTGAAAAATGGACCCCGTCTCAATTGCCATGCTTTGAGAGACTTTTTGTATTTAATCAGCTGGGCTCAGTGGCTGCATGTACCACATTAGGAGTCCTGTCCTTATTATGAAGTATGTACAGTGTTGTAACTCTGAACAGAACTCAGGTGGCTTTGGATGAACTGATGGCTATCCTAGCTAACATGTAAACATCAAAGAGTTGGAGTTTGATACAGATGTAATTCCGACTGTATGTTGCCTTCTCCGGTAACATTCCTCTTACCTTGAGGGGTTTGCAGTGTTTCTTGACATATCTCCCAGAAGAGCTGTGAAGATCCCAGTCGAGCTTGGACCGGTGAACAAACCGCCTTTTTCTGTACAACACAATGATATTGAAATTTGTATAAATAGAAATAAATAAATCATATCATCTGCAAAGTATGTTCAGGTGGCCTTATAAATAGTGTGAATATTGTTTTGGGGGGGGGGAAGATTTGTGTCTCAGGCCAGTCCGAGGTCTACGTACTTAGTTTTCTGCAGCAGGTTTGAGGGGATGGGGCCCAGGACTCTCTCCATCATAGCAAGGTGCTCTTTGCTGTCATGAGTCTGAAGGCAAAAATAAATATGACACATCTTACCAAACGCCATGGTAAATGTCACAGTATTAATCATTTTATTATACTCTCTACCGCCTCTTACCTGGAAGAGAGTAGATCCAAGGTAGTACTCGATGAGTATGCAGCCTACACTCCAGACATCACAGGAATGGCCCCAGCCCAGATCTGAAAGAGACCATGTTCCCTAAATAACAAACCACCACTGAATGATGCGTCTAAAGCTTCCGAGCTGTGCTTTGTAACAGCCACGTACCTAAGATGACTTCGGGAGCGCGGTAGTGACGGGTCGACACCACAGAGGTGTGGTGCTCTTGTTCATATGTGGCGTTTCCAAAATCCACAATTTTCACATCCGGGTTCTTCAACGTCCGCTCGTCCCGTTTCTGAGGACAAGAACAGACTCATGCTACTCACACAGCGACACCAACATGAAGATTTGGGCATTCGGCCAATACTTCAGCAGGTATGATTTTGGATACATATGTGGGACACTCACCATTACAGGGTTGTACTCCATATGATACTCTGAATCAATGAAGAGAATATTCTCAGGCTTCAGGTCTGTGTGAGTCAGCTTGTTGCTATGCAGAACTGAAAGACAAGACCACACACATTTTAAACAAGTAGTTTATATTTTAACATTCTGTATTTTCTGTGCAGCCATGTGGATTTACTCACATCGCACAGCCCGGATGATCTGGTACGCCATGTGCTTGATGTGTTCGATGGGGAATGGCTGGAAATTGTTTTCCTTGAGGAAGTCATAGGTGCTGAGGCCGAGCAGTTCAAAGGCAATACAGACGTGGCCGTGGTAGTCAAACCAGTCCAGTATGTGTACACAAGCACTAAAGAGGAGGAGAGGTAAAGTAGAAGCACAGTCAGTTTCACACATATCAAGACCGCAAGGCGAACGGGTATTTGTGGTATGAAGTTACTTTGGATTTACTTACTATCGCTTATCAGAGTCGAGGGACTTCAACTGTTCAAGCACCTCTACCTCAGACATAGCCGCCTCACGGTAGCGGTCTATGTTTTTAATGATCTTCAGAGCCACTCGAGCTCCATCACTGGAAATACACAACGTAAATACTTTTAACATCGGATGCAAGAGAAGGAGCCAGTAACAAAGAAATATATTAAAAAGAAAATAATACTTTCTTACTTAGAGTGATCAATGCATTCGACTACCTTCCCAAAGGCACCTTCTCCTAGAGTACACACAATCTCATCTATAGAAAATAGAGAGTTGTAGTTAGAAACACTGCCCTTTGGCTGCCTGATGTTTTATAGCTCTGTTTAGCTACGCTACTATAAACAGGCTTCTGAACACTGGAATACAAGTCAAGGCTTAATATGTTACACTGACGAGCAGTAGTTAACCAAATACTTGTCTGGACTAAGACTAATGTTTGGAAATAAGAACCAGACAGGAGAGTGAGAGAGTCAAAGTGTGAACAACAGTAGAAAAAAAAGGTATATATTCTATACATCTCGCTCTCAGCATGTCTCCACTGTGATAGATGAGGTGACCCTCGCCATCATCCTCAACACTCCTGGATCTTTTCCTGCTCCTGCGCTGTTGGCTCCTCCTCTGCACCGCCGCAATCCGCCATCACATCAATAACCCATCAGTCAGCCAGCACCAGGCCACCACAATGCGACATCGTCATTCATTCAACCGGGCCAAGGGGGGGAGGTGTAGGGGTGGATAGATTCAGCCCGTTCAGTAACACCGCCGGACGAATGGACGGAACAGCAAATTCAAATTCAGCCCCGTCAGAGAAATTGGGCGCCAGCCACCACATAGTGTGCGTTACAGAAGAAAAACATGGCAACAAGATTTTCAGATGAGAGACTTTCTCAGAGTAGTACAGAAAAAAAACTAAACTTGATTGATTACAGTCTATCTGCATGTAGTTCTTTGTAACTCTTCCGAAACAACTTAATTCTTAACTAGCATGTCCCATAACCGCCCACTAAGATTTCAGCACAAATACTGGGTCCACTTTTCTCTAACAAATCTATAAAACACTCACAATCTCTGAGCCTCCACTAGTCATTATTGAAAATCATGCTTAATAGTGAAGAATGGGACACACAGAGAGATAGAGAAAACAAAGCGATAGGTGTTATGCTTTGGCTAAACACCAGTGATGACCCATTTGATTTAGTGGCAAAGACAGGAGAGGGGAGTAGAGGGGAGAAGGAGGTTCTCGTACCGAGGAGGACCGGTGGCGAGAGTGGCTGCGTCTGCGCCTTCTGTCTCTCTGCCTGCGGCTGCTTCGCCTGCTACGACCGCTGAGCCCAGAGGACTTGCTGTAGTGGTGCCAGTCACGGTCTCTGTCCTTGCCGGTGCCTTCGCGGCTGACTTCCTCACAGGCCATGCCCAGACTATGGTCCTGGGTGGTTCCGCCCCGAGAGTCCAGCCCCTGGTTCAAACTGCGGGTCTCCAAATAGTGCCTTTAAACACAAAATGACACACAAATTTAAAAAAACGAGTAGAGAGCGTAGGTCAGGTCCGGAGCAGCTCAGCTCCTCGTCTGCGTTAAGGCTCTCGAAATGAAGACGGTGCAAACGGTCCGCCCACTGCCTGACACCGTATCCCCTGAACCTTTTATGTAACATTTTTAATTAGCAACATAGTGATTTACAGCCACCAAACACCGTGCTCATTTAGAGGCTAGTTAAGAAAGCATTTAATCAACAGTTTCTCAACTGTCTCCTTGGCAACCCAAAGTCGACAGCCACATCAGCAGAATTAAAGTGCGAGGCATCGAAAGATCGAGCTGAAAGATTTTGGGCACAACCTGATAGTGTGTAATACCATCTGTATTACACACCATCACCTGCAGATATCAGTGCACCAGAAGGTGACAAATATGCAGTAACATTTCTGCCAATACGAAGTGCAAAACAACTATTACCTTTCAACAGTTCCTAATATATGCTTTGCTGAAAAACATGTTTGCTCATTAGGGTTGCGTTTGCTTAGAATGTTGCCTCCAGCACACCCACCCAGCAGACCATGTTAGCAACGAACATCTAAAAAAGACCAAGAAACCCCTCTGACCATCGCACCCTGCTGGTGTCAGTTGTCTTCCAGGAGGAAGTCTGCCTCTCTACAGAATTAAAATTAGAGTAGAAATGGGAACATATAATGTAACCCCACAGCCTCCATAAATGCTCACAAAAAGATAGAATTGCAAAACATATTATCATTGCACAAAACTTCACCAGATGACACTGAAATTGGAAATTGACTAGGTTTGTCAATTTGAAAAACAGTCAAATATATTAACGAGTCAAATCCATCATGAAAACAAACACTGCAACACAGACGTATACAATGCACGGAGAGCACGAGCAGTTTACAAATCTGAAGCCTTAATGGCCTAACTGGAGGTTTATCTCAAAACATGGCAGCACAGGCCACAGAAATGTTACCATACGTTATGATGTAATGGGTGAACAGCTTTCATACGAAAAGGTCAATAAAAAAAAACAAAAAACATGTATTTTCATACAAAACAGGTGGAATTTTGAGTATATCTAAAACATATCCAGCACATAAACTAGTTTTGATAGATTTTACACCTCAGTTAAAATAAGAAACCAAAACACCACAAAAAGTCTTTGAGTAGGCAGAAAATACTGATATTATATTATTTATTAATAAGATATTTACCCATCACACAACTTGTGGTGGAGGTGAGTTCTTCTGGACTTATTCTCTCTTTCGCTGCTGTGTGAGTCTTGTTTCTTTCTCTTACGACACTCCATTCTCTCTTCCCAGCTGTACTCATCGAGCCAGATACATGGGGAGCGCATCCGTTTCGATTGGCGCATCTGAAAGACATGAAAAACGGTTCAAAATAGAATTCCACTTAATCCTAAACTACATATAGTTATGTTATTTATCAATCATTGCTATGTTTCGGAGCCATGAACTCAGCTGCAGCATTACAATTGCGATTGTTTCTTGAGTTACCTCTACCCCAAAGCAAAAGACTAAATGTTATGTAATATAGTACAGCAGCAAACGAAAAATCTAGTTGTTTAAGATAAATAAGGGCATAGAGCTCAATTTTAATTCAAAAATTCATGTTGATAAAAATGTCTATGTAGACAAGTAACACATCCACAGAGCTTTTAGAGCAGTGCCGAATAAAAAAAAGAAAAATCATAATTGTGATTTAAAATGTTTTAACAGGCTCAAAATTAATGTTTAAATCTATGTGGAACATACCTGACATTTGGTTGCCACTTCTAACGAGGCTTGTGAGCCAATAGTATAACAATGTTGGCATCACATCATACCTCTGTGTCGTCAGTAATAACGTTCACAGTCAATGTGGGGAAAAACAGACAAATAGCTGAATTTGACAATAAGCGTATGGCTTCACTATAACAGTTAGTAATAACAAAGATGAACATAAATTAAGTCGTATACCTTCACTACACTGTCGCTTAGATGACGAGCTAAACATTAGCCGAAGCTAAGTAGCCATATTATAAAATTGGGATCGATTAAATGAATCTTAAAACACCACCATACAAATGTAAGCCGATAGTTACACGTTTTAAAATGACTTGATTACTTGACCACAGAAGATTCGTCACTTGACATAAGTCTCATTCCACTAAACCATAAAATATGCAGGTTGTGCAACAAACTTGTCAAGTAATTAGTAACGTTATATTTGTCCCATCTTCAAGTCTGTTTACTTCCTGAATCCCCGCCAATCAACATGGCTGTACCATGAGAACAAATCTACACCATGAGAACAAATCTACTCTCCGCCATGCGGTGTATGCAATAGAAATGGAGAGTGCAAAATATAGTGGCTTAATGTTATCAATAGCACCTTAAGTCTGCAACAATTTTAAAATCAAATATTTTGTCGTTTACCATGGGAAAACGCCCCAAAAAAAATCACTTGGTAAAAACGTATTCATCGTCATGTAACGTTACTCGAGCGGGTCTTTATTAATAAATTAACCCCAAAAGGGTGAGCAGGTCTGGACTCACCCGTAGGAGGTAACGTTGACTTTAAACTATAAAGATTTATGATAAAATAATAGGAGAGCACTTAACGCAAACAGGTTATAACTTTGCGGCCTGACATAACATTAGTCTATATCTCAAACGTTATCCAATGGTTCATGATAACCTGCCACTCAAACGGTGGTAACTTTGATCAACTAGCGACCGTTAGTGGTGACGGGAGCAAAAAGCCGTTGAGTAGCCTTGTCTCGATCTAAGGGCCCATCGAGCGTCGACCACGCTAACGTATGGCTTAACCTAACGCTACAGAAAACAACATAAACGTTACGTCAGTCAGCCTAAGTTAGAGTTAATACATATATTCTACTGCAACTACCAAACTTAAAAATGTTCACTGCTACAGTTATAAAAAGTTGCACACCAATCTGCCAAAGGCTACTGCCAATTCCGAGGAAATAAATTATCGTAGCTAGCTATAGCTAAGCTAATTAGCCAGATGAGCGTCTGCCATGTTGGCGAGACGTCGAATTTCGGAAAAGCTAACTGGCTAACATTAGCCAACATTAAGGGGAATACACACACGTTAAACAATAGGAAACTGAATAAAGTAGTTACAACCCATGGCATTTGTCTTACCTGGCTTTTACAAGAGATTCGAACGAGTATGTTTATCGGTTTTGTTAAAAGTATGAACAAAGAAAAACAAAATGCCTCCGACTAGTCTTCAAAGATGGCGAGCTTCCCTAGAATCCGCTCGAACGTGGCTCCATGACACAACAACCACGCCCACTGATTAACGGCATGGGTTTTCTTATGCCGAGGTCATCCTTTCAGGTACAGCCAAACAGCACTGTACGTATCAATACTAATATAATACTAATTGCTAGCCCGGGCAACTGTTTAAAATGTACAATATTACTACTAATAATAGTAACATTAATACTAGAGATATAGTTAAGTGTGAAACTGTCAGTATTTAAAAATGAATTCGTTGGAGGTTGTGTCAGCAAGGTTTCTGACGTTACATTGGAGAAGAAAAAAAACACCTGAATTAGTGACAAATGATACAGCTTATTGTTGCATTTGAGATGCACCGGTATAGCGTTGTCTTTTATTTTTGTACTGTCCACGACCCGCTTGCTAGCCTAAGAGGCTACGCAGAGGGTAGTAAAACCCAATATTTGTACGCTTTGACTTGTGGGTAAAACATGGCTGCGCCCTGTTTCCAACCTGAGGACCACCTTACCCAAATGTGTTAGTGGAGTAATTCAAATCGTAAACGCGCATCTAACTATCTGGACATTGTCGGTTTCATTGGATCATTCATTCTCAAGATGTCGGAAAACACCCAGAAGGAACACGCCTCTGGAAACGGGCTCTCCAGAGCTGTGATTGCTGAAATGCTGGCGAAGAATTTCGAGAAACTACCTGACCTCGATCAGAAACTCTTCAAGTATGGACCCATGTATCTGGGGGGCAACGGAGGCCTTGCAGGACTGATATCCAACAGCTTGTATCGCAGAGCTCTGAACGTCAAACAGGCGCCCATCGCCTCCAGCCTGCCGATGGCCGTGCTGCCCTTCCTCACGACAGCCGCCCTGTATAACGCTGTGGTGTCCGCTCCCCTCATGTCGGGTGACCTCAACTGTCCCACCTGCGCCCTGATCCGAGGTGCACTCGTCGGTGTAGTCGGTGGTGGGGTGTACCCCATCCTCCTGGCCTTACCCGTGAATGTTGGGCTTGCATCCAGGTACAACACGGCACCGTTGCCAGAGAAGGGCAATCTGCTCCGGTACTGGATGGACCTCTCCAGACCCATACTGAGGAAGATGAGGGCGGTACTGGTGCTTCAGATTTTCTTCGGCACCTACCTGAGCTCCAAGCACTTTGACTCTTACACCAAACTGGCGCAGATAACATTTGGCGCAGGTGGAGAGGACCTCAAGGACTAAAATGTACTCAGCCTTAAAATAAACACGTTTTCATTGATTCGTGAGACTTTTAAATGCAATATCTTTGAATTTTGGTTGAATAAAACCAGCAATATGATCACTCTGTGAAATTATGTGCAGGTTTCAATATTTTGTGGCGTGTTGTAGATCAACCAACTGATTTAGAATATAATTGAAAGATCAATCGGTACGGTAAATAATAGTTAGTTGCAGCCATTTTTAAATGGTGTTTAAAATGGGGCTGCAATTGACTTTGTTTAATTCCGAATACATTTGACTCATCTTTGAGTTGTGCCTGGATTGCAGATGAAATCGTGCAATGCCTGCAGGTTTTCACAGCATTTTGGGCGTTTTTTGTTCCTAATCATACATTTTGAAAATGTCTACATGCAAATGACATGAAGTGGTTCTGCATCAATCAAATGTCGCGGTTCATTCATGATTTTGAAAACCCTGATTGTGTGAATTCAGTGCAATGCTTTATTTAAATATTTTGTTGAAGGCACACAGCTTGAACAGACTGAAAAGTGGAAGTCAATCAAACCAAGCATTCACACACACAAAACGAACCGAAGGCAATAGACTAAGCAAGGTTTACTTTTATTAATGGCTTAAAGGCTAGTCACACATTTTGCAGTGATGTTGGAGAAATTGTGTCTGCTTGGCCTCAAAAACCATGAAAAACACTGAATGCACTCCAGTCCTCGAACTGCACACAGCAATATACTGCATGTGTGAAAGCAAAAAATTCAAAGATGGCCTTGGCAGTGCGATGACACCATTCAAACGAGCGATGTAAAATATTGCGATTGTCATTGAAAACACATGTTTAACACAGGCAATGTTTTATTAAAACATGTCTTCACCTTGAACGGCAGGTTGGACTTCACATCTCTGGCTCTCTAGTCTTCACTTATGTTGGGAATGTGTTTCAGGGAAAAGCAAGTTTATTGATGACAAATGAGGAGGGAGAGTTAAAGTCAGTCTGTTATTGACAGGGAAAGGTGCCTCTAAAGAGAAATCACTGACATCAATCAATTATAGCAAACTGAATAAGACTTTAAAAAGCTTATAATCACATAGTTCCCCATAACCCTCCAAAATGGCTCCCGAATCACAACGAAACTGCCAAAAACAAAGCTCAGTGACGATCCCACAAAACGATAAATAACACATTTCAAGTCAGAGGAACCTGAATTGTCATGACAACCAGTTATTCATATGGCACAAGTTTCCCTCTTTACTTTACATCCTCTCCAATTGTCCTTCCACAGGATGCAGCGATGCATCATCAAGTTTGTGTTGCGGTAGTACTCTTTTCAAGGTGGACGCGCTTAATGCCCCTTTAAAAACACCTGTCGTAGCATGCTATTGGACCTCATATTCAGTAAAGGAAAGTTACAATAAAAACTATAAATCTGTCAGCACAGAAATCTCCATAAATATATCAGACAACTGAACGTCAGTCAGAGAAAAACTTCCTGAAGAGCAGAAAGATGAGGGGTAAATGTCACCTGTACACAATCTACACCTGGCCTCGCTCCCGCTGTGACTGTTTAGTTAAACTGTAGTTGTCTCGCATTACTGGCACAATACACTTAAAAGTAGTAAACACTTTTTTAAACAGTTCATATTCCCCGCCTCCCAAAATAAGATACAATAAATTATAATACAAGGAGAGGTGACCAATAAACAGCCTTTTCCAGTCATTCTCATGCAAAACAAGACAATCTGAATGGACAAGAACGCATGAATATCTGGATCACAAACAAACCCGCACACACAAAAGTACACGTGAGATGAACTGGTGAAATGCTCAAGGCATGTCCTCTGTCCTCCCGTGGACACACAGTTGCCATTCCTTCAGTAGACCTATAAAATTAGACAGCTGATACGGGCTAGCCAGCGCCCTTCACATCATTGTAAGTTTCATTACAGTACATTACACATAAAGGAGGAAAACAAAGTCAAATTAAATACCTAGACAAGGCTTTGGACCAAAGGCGAAGATAAAGAGAGAGAGAGAAAAGGGAAGAGGAGCAAATACAAAAACGACAATCAGTAGGAATTTCATTATATAAAGTGGTTTTCCCTGTAACTGTACTCTCTGTAGTAGTAAACATATCTTCACAGAGTAAACACACATGGAGGGAAGGGGGAAGGAGAGGCTGTACCCCTCTCCAACGTACTGTACCTCATCATTTCCATAGCTTAACCTTTTCAATTCACTTTGTGTGATTTGTTCTTTGTCTTTTTTTTACACTTCTCTTGATGAATCCCGTTCATCTTGTTTCTTTTTTTTTTTTCATAATTTCTTGATAGAAAAACACCTAAGTACCAGCTAGGTTACTTCACAGTTCATTTTAGTGCAATGAGAACACATGCTCTCTCGCTGGCCGTCTGCCGTCAGTGCCTCATGTCTTTCCCAGAACGTTCGACCTGATGGCAGAAAAGAGAGGAAAGGACGATGAAGGACGAAGGACGTGTCGATATAGCGTCTCTCTTTTTACACGTTGTTATTCTTACCTGAGTGCTTTCCATCTGTCCTTCTCTACCTGGTTCTCTGGACTCTCACTCTCATAGGATGCAAGGTAGAGTCCTGAGGAAGAATGAGGAAAGAAATGGATGGGAAATAAGTAAAGAGGATTGGTAAGGAAGCGCAAACTACCACAAACATTAATGGAAATACTCAACATGTGTAGAGACGTTTCTAAAGCAGGGGAAGGAAAACCTCAGGTACGCGGTAGCTGAACCAGTGGCACACAAGCAACAAGTGTGCAAGAAAATGTTTTGGAAATGTTCACAGACATTGGTAGTCGTGTGGGCTGTTATTTATTATTTATTATTTAAAATGTTGCTATGCCAGTTGCCTGTATGGATGGAATATTGCAGATTTAAATATAGATTTTCATGGCGTCTTAAGTAAACATCATTTTAACCTTAATGTTGTTACGGCACACTGATTAACAAGAATGTTTAAAAATGGCCCCTTTATTCAAAAAAAGTTGCCGACTCCTGCTCTAAAGGCCACTTCATACTTTCAGCAAATGGAAGCGTGCGTTTGTCCGCTTGACTGGTATCAGTCCGCAGCTGAAAGTGTGTCTGAGGCTTCAGGTGTCAACGGGTTCTCACCATCCTCGCTGAAGATGGGAGCAGTGTGGAGGTAGTGAAGGATGGCCCGATCCTCCTCGAATGGACACTCCACCTGTTTCCATGTCATGAACTCCCGGACCTGCCGTGCCAACTCGACAAATTTCTGAGAAACAAAGTTACACTGAGTAAATGATTTTCGGGGTGGTTAAAATGAGGCAGGGTCAGGAGGACAGGTGACCGGCTCACCTCAAAGTTGACGTGGCCGTTGGGCAGCCGATTGGTACATCCTTCATTCAGGAAGTAAATGTCTTTGATCAGCAGACTGAAGAAGGGAATCACAATCTGAGGAAAGAAGATGTAGGAAATATTAAGATGAAATTGAACGATTGAATCGATGCCAGCTGCTTTCAGAGTGACGGCAGCGATGTGTGTCTGAGCCCTACCCTCTCTCTGTTGCTGTTGGCAGTCCGAGAGCGATGGGCGGCCCCCCTCAGGGCGGTCCTGTAGTTGTAAAAGTTTCCTGTAGGATCCATCTGATGCTGTCAAAGCAAACGGCAACAAGCAGTACACCGTCAAGTTCAGGTTATTACCTGTCTTGTACCTCTCAGTCAGTGAACATTGTGTTTACCTCGAGAATGAAGAACTTGGCAGTCTTGGCTTTGCCCCAAGTCTTCTTCAGCCGTGACACAGGACTCATGTTCATACCGGCTACGGGAGGAAACGCATTTCAACTATCAATACCAGGTCGTGCAGGAGAATTCTCTGTGATAATACTTTGAGTTATTGCAAAATGACACTCACAGATGATGGCCATAAGGGAGTTGAAGTTTCCAATGTTGAAACACTCCCTAGCAACATCAATGAAGAACTCTATCACCTGGGCCCTCTGCTTCTTCTTCGCCGGCTGCAATGGGGAAAAAAAAGGCACAAGAATTTTTGTTATCGTTTCATATTTGCTTAATTTTTCATAGTGAATGTTCTCCCCCGGCACAGACAGTTGAACTATCTGTGCCGGTATCGATGTAGTACCACAGAGTAGCCATTAGGGGGCAGTGACGCTCCGTCACAACTAACTGCCTTTTCGTCTCCTGTCCCTCTATTTGTTAAAATAATGAAATACTATACTGCAATATTGTAACTGCAAAATAGATTTACCAGAAATTATCATTGGAAATATAAAAAAATACTGGACTGTATGATAGATAAACATATAAAATAACAACATACATATATTCTAAAATGCTGTTTAAATTATAGGGTATAGTGACATTTCAGCTTCAGAAATACATCTCCACTTAACAGGAAAACAGGGAACACCTCTCTCTGGTTCCTCCCATTCATTTCCATGTCTACGTCATGATTAAAGTGCTTTGTATCTGTGGCTATTCTATTCTACAAACAGGGTGTTTCCTTTCATACTTATCATTTTTGCCATAATGAGTATATTTTGTGTGCCGTTTCTCTGCTTCTAAAGTCGAATGTCAGAATAGATGAGCACCGGCTGCACCAACATTTGCCGCTCACCATGCAGATTTCAGTAGCCACCAGGTAACACAGTCTGTTGAACCACCTGACATAAGCCTCCAGGTTGGAGGTTTTCTTCTTCTGGTCACTGAAGCACGGCTGCCGATGACACACAAACAAGTCAGTATAGGAAGCGTTACCAGAGAGAATTCCTCTCGTCCTAATTAGCTTCCTAGCTACAGGCTGACCCCCCTATGTGAGTGTAAATGACGAAGACAGCAAGCCGGGAGCGGAAATAACACGATCAATGGAGAGCACGAGAAAAAATAAACATAGGAGACAGACGGCGAGAAGATGAGTGAACGAGACAGCGACTGAATGCAGAGAAATAAACACAGCGAACAAAGAAGAGAGAGTGAAAGCATTCAACAGTTACACAGAGAGGGAAGATTAATCTGTTGTGTGTGCTTGCTCCAGCTTGTGGTATCACAATGCTTTGCTGTATGTGCCCTTAGTGGCCTGCTGACATTTATAAAGCCCTTTAAGAAGCGAATCCAGATCAGACATTAGACCCAGGCAACACAATACACACAGCGTTTTATGTTTTACTACAGGTTTACATCTAATCTCAAATTCTGCCTCCTTCAGGATTTCCCAACGAAACAATAATATATGAAAAAATGCTGTGGTTTGACCTGAGGACAGACTGTGGGTTTCCACTGATGTGACAGAACAGAATTCATACTTGAAAATAACACTGACACAGGAAAAATAATGTTTTAAAAACAATCAAAATAAAAGTTTACCTGGGTTCCATCAAGCGGGTCTTTCTGAACAAAGGCTTGGACAAACTCCTCCGGCCCAATATGACTCAAATGTTCCTGAAAACGCACACAGACACCGGTGGGGGTCGTCCCATTAATAATGCTTTCATTTCAGTAATGGAAGGCAATCAATAGGAGGAAGTAATGACTCGCTGACGTGACTCATTGGAATCATATTTCCTCAAAGTGACACTAGAGACAGATTCACTTCTATTAAAAGACAACTGTGCAGTCACATGCATGTGCAGATCTAAATGATTCAATAGACTCGACTCATGATATAATACAAAAACAAGACAGTGCTGCACCCACGCATACCACATACACAGCGACAGAAAGCACAATGGCATCTAATGCTCTCTAACCAGAATTCACATGTTGCTAAAACCAACAATAGAAATAGTTCTATTTACAGGCGTATGCTCTACACGCCTGTATGTGTGTACAGCACACGCCTGTCTCTCTACTTTTGTGTGTATGTGTGTGAGAGTGTGTGTGCCAGAGTGTGAAGCTGTCAGGTCACATATATCCAAAGCGGTTTTATCCCCTTTGTTTGAAGCCCCGGGCACATCACTGACTTCTGGGGTGATGTCACCGCTCAGACAAGGGTACAAGCTTACACAGGCACACACACACACACACACACACACACACATACACACACACACACACACACACACACACACACACAGCCACCCCCCCTAGATACACATGCCCACATCAAGACACACATGAATAGACTGAAGGCACCATGCATGCAATGTGAGGGACACTGCAGAGATCCTTTGTTCATGTACGTTGCATTGCATCATTCCCTTTGCTCTTTTTTAATTATACTGGGTGAAAACCAGTTAGTGCTGACAAGTAATAATCAAGGTTATGCTACAGCGAGCTTCAAAACGCCACTAGATCACAATGTGAAGTGATTCTGCCGATTTTAGCTTGCTATCATCATCCTCATCATCATTTTCTATCACCCTCATGTCTCTTTCTATCCATCTCCTCGTTTGATGTCTTATAATTCTTGGTTCTTGACTTCTATGTCCTTGACTTGGACTATATCTCCACCCATGCTTCACTATGCTTATCTCCTGCTCTCCACCCTTCTAACATCTGTTCCACTCCTCCTCATCCATCCTTGTTATCATCTCCATCCCTGACCTTTGTCTAACCCACACTTCCCTCCTCCCCCTCTCCTCACCAGCTCCACGTGGGTGAGCTGCTGTGCCAGTGTGTACGGGTCGTTGCAGATGGAGAGCATGTCCTTCTGGATGTGCGGGGGCTTGGTTTTGAAGGCCACCAGCTTGTCAGAGATGGAGGAGGCGTTGAGGGAGACCTTGAGGATGCTCTCTTCCCCCTGGCTCATCAGGGCCAGTCGCTGGCTGAGCTTCTGCAACACCTGGTTCAGGGTTTTCCAGTACGCCTGGAGAGGAGAGGAGGAGAAGAGGAGCTGTCAATAACGACTTTAATGAATAATATATTAATGCTTCATAGATCAGTAATAGGCATAAATCATTGTTTCAATTGTGAGCCCGTGTGTAAGCACTCTGTTCTTTCCCAAAGCACGCTCACTCTTTTTACTCCAGCTCTTTATTTTAGAACTTACGAACAATTAAATTCACGATAAGTCATTAAGCGTACAGTTATCAATGGTCGTTTATAGTTATTGGCAGGGATGCTCAAGTCATCTTATAGCTCTATGTCTATGTCTGCTTCATCCTGTAAATGTAACTCTTAACATCTACTTATTGATTTGTAAAGAATTAAGATTTATGCATGTATGGTACCTCAATAACTGTTTCACTGTGTGACTGGTTGCTGTTTCGTGAAAACATTTGACCTCCAAAGCATTAAGATTTAAAAACAAAACTTTTATTTTTAGAACAACAGTGATGCATTTTGACATTATCTAATGGACCAAGAATTAAGTTCAATGTAATTTTTCAGTTGAATCGAGACGTGTTTTTAAGACTGTGTGTTGTGTGTTGTGTCCAGGAATGTGTGTTTCTGTGCCCCTCCCTCCAGATGACTGGTCACCGAGGCCGTTAGGTCAGTCTGCCTCACAAATGACCCACCCAGCTCCCACGTGTATGCACACACATGCACACACACCCATACTGTAGACAGGAAGCTGCAAATAGCAGCACATTCATCACCACCTGCCCTTCCCTCCTTCCTGTCTTCTCGTCACCTCCCTCCCTTAATCCCGGTCTTCCGCTCTGACTCCATCGCCCTCCTCCTTTCTCTACCTTCCCCTCTGCTCTCCGTCCCCCTGTATCCCACCCCCCCCATTTTCTCCATCCATCTCCCTCTCTCCATTTCCCCGCGAGGCTGAAGATAGAGCCACTCCTCTAGCATCCTTCCCCTCTCCTCTCCTGTAATGGGAGATTGTGTAACACAGAGCTGTGGCTACTCATCCTACACTGACACTCTGACTCCTTCCATCACCTCGCTTCAGTGGCAGTGATTGAATTTCGTTCCCCATCAGCGCATTTCTCGCTGCAGCTACGGATTATGAAGGCTATAATGGCAACAACTACACTGTGGATGAAAATCAGGGGGTAATACATCCCCTTCACAAATGATTGTCCTGTAGAAACCGATAACTTCATGAGTAGCATGTTATTTTATCCTTTATAAAGATGCTCTGGCATCCTTTCAAAAATGAAAAAGAATTCCTGTCTTTGGTGAAGATGAGCGGACTGCTACCATGTGGCTGAATGTCATACCTCATCACAAGGAGCGATCCTGTGGACGATGTCCTTCAGGTGCCCGACCATCTTCTCGTCCCTGAAGTCTGTCGGGAATGTCTCCGTCCACTCTGTCAGCAGCTGCAGGATCTTGGGACCAAACTTGCGCACTTTAGCCTGTTGTTGACGAAGTGAAAGAGGTTTAGTGTGGTCTACATTTGTGAATCCGTCAGCAAAAGCAAACACCGTGACAGAGTCAGCAAAAAAAAAATAAATCAGAGGTTGATTTCATGCAGAGCATGTCTGAATGTTTTTGCTGTGCCTGGATCCGTTCCTGTTCATTAGCTTGAGCATGCTCATACAGGAGTTATGCATGTGTGCGTGGTGCAGTGCTGACCGTATCGAGTGGGCTCTGATCCAGCTGCTGCTGCTTGATGCACAGCTCACACACCCTGGCCAGCAGCTCCGGAGGCGGGATGAACAGACGAGCGCTCAGCAAGAAGGTAAACACATAGGCTTTCTGTCAAAGGACAGAGGGAGACAGTCGCTAAGACACTGCCACTACATCAATAAAAAACACTGCGGCTTTCTGTAATTAAAGGAAGAGTAGCACTTTCAACAGAGACACGGGGCTAATAATCTAATTGGCAGTACTGTCAGTAGCACTATTAACTGAAATGGAGTTTATAATGAACAGAGGAGTGACTGTAGTGCATTTCCGCTTACCTCAGGGTAGTAATCAGCAGTGGGCACCAGGTTATGGATCAGGGTGTCCAGGGAGGCGGAAGTGATCGGGGGACCATCAGCCAGGCAAGCACCAGGCCCCGGGCCCTCCTGTTGGGCCTCCTCCTCCTCCTCCTCCTCCCCAGGCTCAGCACAGGCCAGATGGGGGCTGAAGCCACTGGGAGTGGTGAACATGGTGCCTGAGCACACAGTCTGGGGCATTCCTGTCTAAAACACAAATAGACAGACAGAAAAAAATAAAGAAATAAACTGTCAGCAGAATGTAGACAGAATGAGGAAGAGGAACACGACTGGGTTTTATGAAACGGAAACTTGAGTACATTATTGGCAGTATAGTTCGATTGTGTGAGAGGAAATTCATTTAAATGCATCTTTCTATCTTTCAGCCTAAATTCTCGAACACACTTTTGCCTTCTGTGCATCCTCCTAGTGTTTCGCCTCCTGTTCACTCTCATTCTGCAGCAACACACTCATTCCATCCAACTGACGGAATACCCCCCAAAACAGCTGCCCCCGTCTCCCACATCGACATAGACAGAGGAGAGAACACAAATGTGGGTCACTCAGCCGCCGTGGAGACTGTTGCTGCCTGAAAGCGACAGCGTAGCCTCCATATCGGCCCTGTAACGTCTTTCCCTTTAAGCACGCTTTGGGTTACATGTTTTAAAAATTCAACATGTTCTTCCCCTCAATGGACCAACACTGCAGCTGTCATGAGAAGAAGCACTTACTGCACGATACGCTAGAGTAGAGATACTATGGAAATAGAGAGCATGATGAGCCAGGGTCACTCATCATCATCATCATCATCATCATCGTCATCATCATCACCTCAATGTCATCTACATGCAACAGATACATTACACTGACCACTCCTTTATTTAGGAAGTTTTAAAATGACAGGGTTGAGATAATAGAAAATATTGTTGAAGTTAAATTATTATTAAAAACATCCACCACTGTTTTGTATGTCAAAATGAATTTGAATAAAAATACTCCCGTGCTCCTGCTCCCACTGAGTGAACCTGGCGACTACATCTACCTGAATCACTCATCATCACCGAGGTCTCTGGGTGCCTTCAGGCAAGTTCAGGGGCACAAAGACTCTTTGACTGCAGGAGTCACGAGAAGGGCAGCAAACCCACAGTGAGAACTTGAGCAACACGCAGGAAGTTATTTCAGATGTAAACGCGCCATGATCGTCCTGCTGTTTGTAGCTCAGTTAACACACTTATTCATGCACGTGTTCACACCTGGACACCAATGCACACAGACAAGACACTAAAGGCTGGGGGGGATGGGGAGCCTCTCTGTGGGGAGATTTTACAGCCTTCCTTCCGACTTACACCGCTGACACCCACAGCTATATCTCTTATAATATATGTTGTGGTTAAAGAGGGCCGACATCTTCTTGTCTGCTACTCTGAGCTATTATGATGTGAGAGGGGGATAAAAAGACGTGTTTAGCCGAGCAGATGATGGAGCTGTATCCATCTAAATATTAAAACTATACAAACATACTCACATAGACAAATAACTGTGTCGTGTGTGTCTTTTAAATAGTCTATTTTGCAGGGTGAGACATTACCACAGAACCCCAGCTAAAAAATATTACTATCATAATCTAAAATGCTGGTCTACAATGTCTTTAATACAAGTTGTGAGCGGTTTTCCTCCTTTAAACACGAGTGTCACTGTCTAGATGAGGGTCCAGAAGGGGAAAGACTGGGGTGTCCTTGCAGCGACCTCGTATAGATTGGATTACAACATTGCAGCCGCAGAGTAGACACGGCCCGATAAACAGAGAAATGGACAAATCCAACAAGCCTCTGTAACAACACAGATGCAGTAAGAAAGCATGATGGAGAGTGGAAGGAACTTCCTCTGTGATAGAACTGACAGGAAGACAAATTATCAGCTCGTAAGAGTGTGTTTGACTAAATCCAGGAGTTTATCTGTGAGTCATCTCATGCATACACACACACACAAACACACGTCTCTGCCAGTGTGTTTGTATTCATATACTGTATGTACGGGAGTGACTGAGAGTTTTTATTCTACGTGCCCACACTGTCAATGATTCCCTCTATCGTTTGTGATAATCTTCACTCTCCTTATTTCTCCCAAACGCTTCCTCCTCAGCACTCTCTCCAGCTCTGATTCATTAATTCATCACAGCTCTGCATCTCCATCAGACGATCCCTCACAGTCTGAAGCACGTGAGCAGAGTTCGCTCAGGTAACGCCTCTCCAGACGTGTACATATTATGATAGATCAGTCATCCGTTTCTGTGTATGACACACTCACTGCTCGCACTGTGCCACTAAAGCTGATGTGGAAATGGCCTGAGTTAGGTTCAAGACTTTTTTTTTTTTTAAATGTCTGAGTTTGGAGAAGAAGAGCCTTTTTATAACTGTTGACGATTCAGTTTCTTTCAAGGAGAACTTTGCCAATGTTACACATCAAACTCTACTTACAGGTCAACTAGCGTAACGCATCATAATCTCTGATGGAACCGTCAGCAGTCCAGTAGCATTGTGGGTAATGTAGGCGCCAGGTATTGACAAGGGAGTCAGTTTTTTGTTGTAAACTAACAACAACAAAACATCTCTGTGGTGTACTCTTTTAAAGAGATCATGATGAGGTAACCTGAAACATTTATCTGTGATATGCTAAAACAAAGTCGAACAGTAGAGATGAATTATAAAGTTAACACCCTGACTCAGTAATCTCAGTTACGCAGCAATGCCCAGGTAGCCAGTACTCATTACCCAGGTTTTTTAAACATAAGCTAACATTACCCAACATACGCTACAGGTTATACCGGACCAAGTAAGGTTGTAGCAGTGTGTTGAATTTAGCATGGGTGAATGTTACTGCTTTTGTAAGCAGAAGATTTTTTTTTTTCCATGTCACAAAGTCTCGCTTTTAAGTGTCACATCTGCAAGATCCTGTTGTCTTGTGCCTGACCAAGAAAGTGTGATGTATCACCACTTTTTCTAACTTCCAATATTATTTCACAAGCATATTGCTTACACCACGTTTTTCCTACAATGTGACCAAGAAGTCATCCACAGCTGTACTCTATGTATAACTTGTTTCCGTACCTCATGATACACCCAGCTCCCTTTGTGCCTGTCACATTGCGTCAACGCTGCCTGAAAAAACACATTGAGAAACAAGTAGCAAAGAACAGGTGAGTGTAGTGTTGTGTGCTCCGATTCCCCCTGAGATCTCCAGCAGCCCTGCACTCCGTCTAGACAGCTGGAGGAGTGTCATTGTTCAGAGTCCTTGCAGTGTGCATGTGTGTGTGTGTGTGAGAGTGTATTTTGTCTTGTGATTCCGTCAGGTTGTTATCGTTGACATCAGGGGATCCGCCTGCTTTGTTCTACCATGATTAACAGAATGGCACTGTCTGGAGACACACTATCTTCATCAGCACCCTTGACTGTCTAGCTCTGTGTGTGTGTGTGTGTGTGTGTGTGTGTGTGTGTGTGTGTGTGTGTGTGTGTGTGTGTATGTGTTGATGAAACAATGGTGTTCCTGACACGACCAAGCAGCTTGAAGCTGTCAAACAGCTTTATAACTTTGTTAATCTTTGTTTTCTAGTATCCAATTCTGTCCCGTCTCTGTAAAACCTGTTTCATCACATATAACTAGTATTACTCACACCTACCTGTGTGTGTGTGTGTGTGTGTGTGTGTGTGTGTGTGTGTGTGTGTTAGTTGAAGAGAATGCTGACACAGCCGCTGAAAAATCTGATCTGCCACCAAGGAGTTAATGGATGAGAACAATCAGTATTAGAGACAGTCTACATTAAGACTGAAGAGGCTTATTCAGGACAAATCTAACCACTGTCTGACCTCGATTATTAAGGAGTCAGGGGTCAAAGGTGAAGAGTTAAGGCTCCTTGGTGGGGGCAGATGGATCAAAAGTCACTTTGAGGTTGTTGTTGTTGATATGCTCTGCTGCTTGGCTCAGTTTTAAAGCTACATATAGGCTTTATCTGCAGTTAGGGACATTTTATAAAAGTTCTTCAAGAGAATGACCAATAAGGCTGTCACAGTTGACTTTGATTCATTGGTACGGATGGCATATCAACTCATCATCACATCAAATGAAAGTTAAGGACAAGATACTTGCCAACAGGTGTACATCACAGGCCCTCATGCTATTTATAATAGCAGAACTTAAGCAAAAATACTATTTGGACGAGAATGAGCTGTTTTTCCTGATAAATACCTTTGAAATACTAACAGTAAAAAAAATAAAATCTCCAAAGACAGTTTGATATTTTCAAGCTCCCAACTTGACTGAATTATTGTACCAACCCATAAACAACATTTCTATCTAAGCCCAGTAGCATTCTTGCTCAAGCGTAAATAAGTCCCCAAAAAGCATGTTTTTAAGGTTGTTTTCATGTCCTTGAGGGTACAGCTGATACAGGCCAATTAAATATATTGCTGCACCAGCACCATACATAGCTGATAAAGGGCTTGATTTAAGATTGAATCAGGTGTATTGTTGGATGAAAAGATCAAATATATAAAGTCGAGGTTTGTAACTCACTGTCCTATTTCTTCCCATTAAATGTTAAACTATCAAATAATTTGATTTATTTTGCTACATATGATAGTATTTGTAGTGTTTACAGTATGTGTTCTTGAGTTAGGACTGCTTATATCTAATGTGTTAACAGAAAGGATATGACATATCGATACTGAGAAACGCCACAAAGCAAGAGTGAAACCACAATGCGAGGCAATGCTTTTCTTAGAAGGGCAGCACACCATCAGAGGCGAGCACAGCAAATATCCGGCATGGGTATTGCAGCAATGTTTTGTTTTGTTTCTGCAGTTGCTTCCTGGCTTCAGAAATCAATGTCAGGAAACTGCATCCCCTGCCTTGCTCGGGGATGAGTACAGAAATAAGATGGCACAAGATAGGAGAGAAAGGTGGGTGATAGTTCCCCCTCAGGGTAGTGTGCAGACAGTCTAGGCTCTATGAATGTTAAAGTCACCTCTTACTAGACTCACTAAACTCCTCTTTTCATTTACCGACTCCATCATATGACTCTCCAGCCCCCTCCTCGCCAACTCATTGACATACTTTAACACTTCCTTTCTAATTTAGGAATCCACATTTTCGCTCCTTTACGCAGAACAGTTTCAACACTTTATCTATTTCGGGAGTGCGCTCGAAAAAAA